AAGAATGTCAGCCCGACCTCAGTACTTAAATTGTTTCCAATACCTCATGACCTTGCATCTGTCGAATGCCGAACGTGGCAAGACCAGGGGTGGCCTGTAATCCGGCACCATCGGGTGCGAACAGATCTCCTCCTTGTCTCCATATCCCGCTCTTGCCTTTTGTGAGCGGTCGGTTCTTGGCTTTCTCAAATGTGGCATTAACCGTGGTAATGCTTTCGAATATTTTGGCCTTGAGACAGACATATTCAGTGGGCCGTTAATTGAGGCTGCCGATCCGCTGCCGTACCTGCCGACTCGTCATCAGAGCGTCGGGCACCAAGAACAAGCCAATGGCGCCTCGCTTGTCCACTATACATGCCGGCCCAGACTCAACGACATTGTCCAGTGGGGGATACAATGCGGCTAAATTAAACTCGAAGTCATCATTATCACCATCCTGACCCCCTACAAAGGCGTTGTAGGCCTTGCAGCTCCAGTTCAAATAGTCTGTAACTTATGAGATACAAGTATTGAGGCAAGCAATATGGGCGTACATGGATTCCGATATGCGCGTCCAAACTCCTTTACCAAATGGAGTATCTCCTCTCTTACATCCGCTTCGATTAGAGCCTTGTTCCAGACCGGCTGAGGAGCTCCTGGGATTTGCAACTCTCTTGCCCATAGTTGCTGAGCATATTGAGCTACAGCATCAGTATAGACGAGCGCCCAGGATGACGGTATGGAGCTCTGGGCACCGGAAATGGGCTGAGGAAATTGCGACGCCATGGTGGTCATGAATCAAGTTGCCAGCAAACGACATCTCCACGACTTTGATCTCCATGATGGCGGCAAGCACAATCAGACAAGTCGCACTGCCGATGCTGCCGGGTGCATCGCCTGTGACATATTCTGTGCATTCCGACGTACACACTAACGCGCTTGAGCAGACACGTATGACAAATCAATCAGAGATGCGTTGATCTTGATACTCAGAGATGACCTCAGTAGTCTGTGTCCACCAAGCCTAGTAACTCCTGCCGACCGGCCGGGTCGGCAGGCTATGAACCCACCCGGTCCTGGATCGATCCCGCCTGCATAACCGCTCTACCTGAGGCTGGAGTAGCCCGTCTGCGGACGCGAAGAACTGTCAGGCGACATCGAGGACGCAGAATGCAGTTGCAGCGGTATCGGTGCGCAGGCGGTATCGATCGGTCGCGCCCCGCACCCCCCCGC